GCCCGAGCGCTGGCCGAGCCCACACGGCGACGGCTGCCCCACCCTCGAGCCGTCACCCTCGGTCCGCACCTCGCCCTCTGAGGGTTGCACGCAGGCTTACTGACTCTTGCACCATTCACTCCATCCAGTCCGCCACCTCGAGCAGCCCTCGCGACCTCGCCGCCTCGACCTCGTCGGCCGACTCACCGACCCTGGGAGACAAGCCCGCGCGTCCGCCCAAGGCCGCCCACCGCCTCTCGACCGGCTCGATCTACCAGCAGGCTCAAACCGACGTCCCGACCATGACCGACACCGAGGCCGGCAGCGCCGCCCCGATCTCGTCCGTCGAGCGCGTCGACGATGCGGCGGCAGGCCGTGATCTTGCTTCGACCAACGAGCCCACCCTCGTCCCGGCGACGAGCGTCGGCCCGCCGCTCGGTGGCGACGCGACCGCCGTCGACGGTTCGAAGCGCTCGTCGGCCGCCAACGAGTCCGTCTCGGCCGCGCAGACGGGCGAGTCGTCCACCGCCAAGGTCGCGACTGCACCCGGTTCCACCTCGACCTCGATCCCCTCGTCCTCCGCCGCCGCCGCCACCAAGCCGACCGCCCCCTCGTCGTCCACCGCGCCCACCTCGCGCCCGGCACCCGCCGCCGCGTCGCGCAGCTCGCCGCCGAGCCTCAAGAAGAAGCGCAAGGGCGGCCTGTCGTCCCTGTTCGCCTGCCTGCCCTGCTTCGGCTCGACGGGCCACGACGACACGCCCGCCAACCCGAGTGCGTCGTTGTCGCGCCCGGCCGCCGCCGCCGCGACTCGCGTCAACGAGCAGGAGAAGCGCAACGCCGCCGTCCCGGACTCGAAGGACACGTCGACGTCGTCGAAGGAGAAGGACGCCGCGACGGCCGCGCCCGTCACGAACGAGAAGTCGACCGCGCCGGTCGCTGATGCGCCGGCGCCGACCACGGCCGCGACCGCCGCCACGCCCGTCGAGCCCGAGAGCGCCATCACGCCGACGCCGACCGAGCCGCTCGTCGCAGCCTCGAGCGGCGACGCCGCTGCGGCGCAGCTCGCCCCGCCGCCGACTAGCGCCCCGGCGCAGCGTGGCGTCATGCTCAGCCAGGAGGAGACCGAGGGCGTCACCTCGGGCGCCGTCGTCCCGCCCGGTCAGGCCCCGACGGGCGCTCTCGCGGTCGCCGCGGCCGCCGCAGCTGCCGGCGTCGGCGCGGCAGCCGTCGCTGCGCCCAAGTCGAAGCGCAAGCGCAGCGGCAAGCACCCGAACAGCAACAGCGCGACCGACGGCATCATCACGAGCGTGCCCGAGCCCGGTGCGCCGGCCGGTCCGAGGGGCGGCGCCCTGTTCGCGCGCCAGGCGGGCGACGAGACGAGCAGCGACGACATCTCGAGCGACGACGACGACGACGAGGAGGGCGAGGAGGACGACGAGGAGGAAGAGGAGGAAGAGGACGAGGAGGCGGGTTTGATCGCGCGCGGCGGCGTTGGGATCCCGATCGGCGAGGACGGTCTGCCTCATCCGCTCCTCGACGAGCTCGCCGACGACCTCAAGGGCCGCAAGTGCCTCGTCCTCGACCTCGACGAGACGCTCGTCCACTCGAGCTTCAAGGTGCGCCCTCGCTCTTCCTTCCTCGCCCCTCCTCGTCGAGCATCTTTGACTCGGCCTCCTTCCCCTGTGCGCAGATGGTCCACCAGGCCGACTACGTCGTCCCTGTCGAGATCGAGAACCAGTTCCACAACGTCTACGTCATCAAGCGGCCAGGTGTCGACGGTGCGTCGGCGACTGCCTTCCTCTTTCTCGCGCCAGCCTCGTCACGAGGGGCCGCGCCGCGATGCAGCCGCTGGTCGCTGACACATAGACTCGTGCGCAGCCTTCCTCAAGGCGATGGGCGAGATCTACGAGGTCGTCGTCTTCACGGCGTCGCTGTCCAAGTACGCCGACCCGGTCCTCGACCAGCTCGACGTCCACCGCGTCGTCAAGCACCGCCTCTTCCGCGAGAGCTGCTACAATAACAAGGGCAACTACGTCAAGGTGCGCTCCCTTTCTCCCTCTCGGCCCCTTGCCGCCCTCGAGCCCGTCACTGACTCATATTTGGACCCGTCTCGCAGGACCTGTCGCAGCTCGGCCGCCCGATATCGGAGAGCATCATCATCGACAACTCGCCGGCGAGCTACGTGTTCCACCCCAACAACGCCGTGCCGATCAGCAGCTGGTTCAACGACCCGTGCGTCCCCCCAGTCCTCGCCGACCTTCCTCTCGGGACGCACTGACCCTCGTTCTCCCGCCCGCACAGCCACGACACCGAGTTGACCGACCTCGTGCCGTTCCTCGCCGACCTGTCGACGGTCGACGACGTGCGGAGCGTGCTCGACGCCAACCTGTACCTGCAGCCGACCGCTTCGGACGCGCACACCGACGGCGTCTTCCAGCAGCTCTAGACGGCACTCGTCGCCGAGTCCCCTCGCATTACGCCCTATCGACGTCCGGTTCGCTAGACCTGCAGCAGCATCGACCTCCCCTTTCGCCCTCGGCCCGCCGTCGTCCGCATGAGATACCCAGCCCTCGCTCTCGCGCCGCCGATCCTCCTTACCCCCTCTCTCTCTCGCCCTCCCCTCCTCTTTCTTTCTTCGCCATGGACACCTGCCTCGCCGTCGCGCCTGGGCCATGTTCGTCGTCACTCGCCCGACGCGACCGCCTCTCTCCCCTTTCCTCCTTGAGATACCCGTACAGCCTTCCTCTCTCTCTCCTCTCGCGCCTCCCAAATGCCTCCCTTCTCGTGTCCCTACTCTCTCTCCCCTAGCTCTAGTACCCCTGCCTCGTTCTGTGGTTGTCCCCCCCTTCCTCGTTCCCTCTCTCTCTCTCTCTCGCTCTTCCTCTTCCGTGACTGCACCGCGATACAAGGTCACTCGCACTTTCTCGACGGCGCATTTGAGAGTATCAAGAGCGACGACAACGAGCAGCTGGACCCCCAAGTGCACAGCTGAGAGAGCGACTTTGCGAGACCTCCTGTCCAGCGGCCGGTCGCCTCTGTTGACCTCTCGACCTGCGCTCGCCCTGCGCATTCCTCGGCTCGACCCGCCTCGCCTTGCGTGCACACTGTGCTACTCGACAGCCCGCCGACCGCCCCACCGCCAGCCCAGCGAGAGGTCGCCTCGAGCCCCTCCCCCTCTCGTCACCAACCCTCTCCTCGCTCTCCGCCAGCCGCACATTCGCATGCTCCGCCAGCCGCACACCATGTCGCGCACGTTCTTCGACCGCACGTCCGAGTTCCGATCGGCCGTAGAGTCGGCCGCCTTCCGCGCCGCGTCGTCGTCCTCGGCAGCCGGCGGGGCCGGCGCCCCTCTCGTGCCGCAGGGCGCAGGGCCGGCCAAGGGCGGCAAGAACGCCCAGCGGAGCGAGTTTGCGAGGATGGCGGCCAAGATTGGCAAGGACATCCAGGGCACGACGGGCAAGTTGGAGAAGCTCGCGCAACGTGAGTCCTCCTATTCGTCCTCTCGAGCAGCTCGCACGACGGCTCGCTGGCTTGCCCGGCTCGACGAGTCGTCGTTGCGATATCTTGTTGGGCGAAGGCGACACCGACTGACGCGCTCGTCGCCCGCAGTCGCCAAGCGCAAGACGCTCTTCGACGACCGGCCCGTCGAGATCAGCGTGCGTCGCGGCACCTCTCGTTCCCTCAGCCCCGGCAGCACGACGAGCACCACCTGACTGACCCGCCGACCCCGTCCCGCAGGAGCTCACGTACATCATCAAGCAGGACATCGCCGCCCTGAACCAGCAGATCGCCCAGCTCCAGGCGTTCACCCTGTCGAACCTTAACGCTGGCGGCAAGCAGGTGTCCGAGCACAACAAGAACGTCGTCACCATGCTCCAGACCAAGCTCGCCGACACCACCATCGGGTTCAAGGACGTGCTCGAGATCCGGACGCAGGTGCGCCCTCGCTCCCTCTCTCTCCTCGGCGCTCGAAGGTGGAGCTCGCCCCAAACCGTGACCTGACCCTCCTTCTACCACGCCTGCAGAACATGAAGGCGTCGCGCGACCGCACCGAGCAGTTCACCTACACCGGCGGCTCGAACGCTCGCAACGCACCTCCTTCCGGTGAGCCCGCTCGTTCCTCTCTTTTGCTCTCTCCCCGGCCGGCTCTCTCCATCGCCACTGACCCCGTGGATGGGGTGCACGACGCTCACCTCAGTCCTTCGTTCCCGCGCCGCCCCTCCTTCCGCCAACTCGTCCTCGTCCCGGTACCAACCCTCCGGCACGACCTCGTCTCATCCCTACACCGCCTCGTACGAGACGTCAGACTCGCCCCTGTACCGCCCACCATCGGCAATCGGCGGCTCGAGCATCCTCGACTCGCAGGGCAAGGGCAAGGGCAAGGCGCCGGCCAACTCGGACTTTCTCGCGCTCGACCTTGGCGGCCCGACCGACAACCAGCTCAACAACGTCGAGGGCGGCTACATGCAGCAGGAGCTCGCGCAGCAGCAGGGCGACGACCAGTACCTGTCGTCGAGGAGCACGGCCATCGAGACGATCGAGAGCACCGTCGCCGAGCTGGGCCAGATCTTCAGCCAGCTCGCCCACATGGTCGCCGTGCAGGGCGAGCAGGTGACGCGCATCGACGCAGATACGGAGGACATCGCGACCAACGTGACTGGGGCCCAGACGTGAGTCCCGCTCGTCCTCGCCGTCGTTGTCGCGCCCAGGGTCGCCCTCGACGAGGAGGCTCTCACGCTCGATCGTCGGCGAGCACCACTGACTCTTCGTCTCCCTTGCAGCGAGCTGCTGCGGTACTACGCGAGCGTGTCGTCCAACCGGTGGCTCATGATCAAGGCGCGTCCTCGTTCCCCTTCTCTTCGTCGTCGTCCTCTTTCTCTCTCGATCTGCCCCCTGACCGTCCCTTGCGTCAACAGGTGTTCGGCGTCCTCATCCTCTTCTTCCTCATCTTCGTGTTGGTGAGCTAGGTGGAGCCGAGGCAGCGGTAGACGAGCGAGAACGGTCGTCGCGAGGGTGGGCGAGGGAGCGAGCGGGTCTGTGGCTGTATCGCAGCCTGCGCATCTCTCTCTGTTGTCCCGTCTGGCGAGCGAGGAGCTGCAGCATGGACGACCCGCTCGAAGCGTGACCGTGTTCGCCTCAGTGCATGCGAGCCGGCACCTCTTGTCCTCGCGCACGCGCCGCCCGCTCCCCTCCCTCTTCCTCCTCCCGCTCCCTCGCTTCCCTCGCGCCTGGGACTGCGCCAGACCACTCGAGTCGCCTCAAGTCGCATCCAGCACCTGCACAAGTGCCCGCCACACGCTCTCGGCCGCCTCCTCGCCCACACCCGGCTCTCCTCGCCTCATCACTCGGTGAGTCCACCTCGACTCCTGAGCTCCTCGGTGCACGGCACGCACAGCAGGACTGACTCGTTGAGCCACACAGACCAGTTCACCATGCCGCAACCGCCCCTCCCCCTCGAACTCGTCGCCCTCATCCTCGAGCCGTTCCGCGACATCAAGGACGACGGCGAGCGGCGCGAGATTGGCGAGCGCATCGCCCTCGTCTGCAAGACGTGGCTGCCGCTCGGGCGCGACATCGTGTGGCACCGCGTCTCGATCAAGGTCTTCGCCGACCAGCGCCTCGCAGAAGGAATCGTCGCGCACCCGTCGTCGGCCGCCGTCATCCGCCACCTCACCGTCGAGCCGGACGATCTCCAGCTCCCTATGGAGCTCGAAGCCGATGCCGAGCCCAGCGGGACGTCGGCCTTCCTCGACGACGACGTGTACCAGGCCGCCCTCGTCAAGTCGGTCGAGGTCGTCGAGGCGTGCGCTCGACTCGACTCGCTCGCGCTCGACTTCGTACGCGCGTCCGACCTGTTCGACCGCCTCCCTCGAGCCCGCATGGCGGCGGCCCTTACCCGGCTCCACCTCTCGGTCACGCTGCGCGCCGACTTTGGCGGCGCCGACTTGATCGAGGCGCTCGGGCGGTTCACGAGCCTGAAGAACCTCGAACTCGCTGTCTGCGACGCCCTCGACGTCGTCGTCGACCTCAGTAACGTCGTCGCCACGCACAAGCTGCCGGTCGCGACCCTCAAGCTCGACATTCTCGTCGGCGACCCGGTCAAGGTTCGCCTCATCGGCGACGCCGTGCACGGCCTCTTCGACCCGGGCCGGATGCAGCACCTGACCTGTGCAGGTCTCGGCGCGGCGTCGCCGTCCTTCGCGTGGCTGTCGCGCTACGAGTACCTCGACACGGCCGTCCTCATGGCGCTGTACGGCGACGACGTCGACTCGGCGTTCACCAATGTCGTCGCGGCGCTCTATACGCACCCTCGCGTCCGCGGCGTCCTGTTCGCCTACGAGCCCTACACGTTACCCTCGGACACGATCCCGCCCACGTCGCCCGTCCCGCTCGGCGCCTTTCTCAAGGCGCTCCCGCCTCAAGTGCGAGAATACGTCGTCCAGGGCCTCACCTTCGACGACACGCTCGGCCTCCTCGAGTCGCCTCGTGTCAACAAGCCTGTCGACGACGTTACCGTCGTGCTCAACCTCGCCCTGCCCGATGGCGACGACAACGAGCGGCGGCCCTGCGTCGAGACGGTCGTGCGGCGCGAGCGCACAGAAGACGGCGCGTCCTGGGTCTCCTTTCAGTCGGTGCGTGGCTCTCTACTCCTTCCCTGTCTCTGTCTCGAGACTGACTCTCCCTCGTCGACACGCAGCAAGAACAGCAAACCTGAGCCGGCCGTCCTTTCTTCCTCGAGTTCGCCTTCCCTCGTCCCTCGTGCTTTCTCGCCGCGCCCTGTATCACTCTCGAGCCTGCAACCTCTTTGTCTTTCCGTCTTTACCTACGCGTTCGCTGTTGAGGAGCGTCGGCTCGCGGGAGGAAAGCGGCGGCGGTCAGAGCGTCGAGCGAGAATCACGAGCGAAGGCGTCCAACATGCGCCTGCGCGTCAAGCTTCGCCACGAGTCGAGCCTCCTACTCAGCAGCTCGACGGGCCAGCAGTCTTGCAGGCAGACGAGCAGCTCGACGTGGCGAGGCGGGAGGCTGCCTGTCACGGGTCGCGCTCTCGCACTGCTCCTCCCTCGCTCAAGCCAGTGTGCGCTGCGCACGACATGGCTCAGCGACCGCCTGAACGCCCTGAGCGCCCTCCCTGGCCGTTCTCGCGCCCTCGTACCGACCTGAGAGCGCCTCTCCGCCTCAACCGCCGGTCCGTCACTTCTCCCCTCTCTGGCGTCCGGGGCGCGGTGGGCGGGGACGGAACCTGACGCAGAGTATCACACAGGGCTCTGCAAGCGCCGCCAGCTCCGCCTGTGCCGGCATCGCCCTCTCCTCCTCCCCTCCCCACCGTCCCCACCGTCCCCATCGTCCACGACGGCCTGCCGCCCCGCCTCCCGGTCGAGCTCATCCTCGAGATAATCGAGTGGTGCGACCACCTCGCCGAGAAGCGCAGCGCCACGCTCGCCGCCCTGTGTCGCCTCGCCAAGTCGTACCAGCACGCCGCCGAGCACGCCCTGTACTCGGACGTGCGGCTCTCGTGGGGCGACCGCTCCGGCCCTCAGCCCGAGGCGACCGACTCAGTGCCGTCAGGCCTCGTGCTGCACACGCTCGTGCACCATGCGCGGCTTCGGCCCCTCGTCAAGTCGCTCGAGGTCGCGCTCCACGGCAGCGAGGGCCACCACCCCGAGGTCATGTCGCTCCTGGGCAGCTTGCCCGGCGTCGAGTCGTACAGCACCGAGCGCTGCCCCGGCGCAGTCTCGCGCGACCAGATGGACGGCTTGCGCCGGGTCCTGTCGAACGTGGGCGTCAAGATCCGCACGCTCGACCTGGGCACGTGGACGCCGACCGCGGCAGCTCTCGTCCGCGATTATCCCCAAGCGTTCACAACCTTCAAGCACCTCAAGCTCGAACGGCTCGTCGACTACCGCGGCACGGCGCCCTCGGGCCCGAATGTCGGCGTCGAGACGCTCGCCCTCGAGGTCAGCGTCGGGCCTCGAGCGTTCGTGTCGCTCACGTCGCCGTTCTGCAAGACGGTCCTGTCGCTCCGCCTGCCGGTCACGGGCAGCGAGGCCACACAGAGCCTCAAGCTGCGCCCGTTCGTCAAGCTCGAGCGCCTCGACCTGCTCGTCCCGAAAAAGGACCGCGGCCCGGCGTTCCAGGACGCCATCCCCAACATCGTCTCGCTCCTCCTGTCGGCAGCATCGCTGCAGCACCTCGTCTCGCTCACGATCCAGGAGGCGGTCGTCCAGCCGCCGCTCGACTTTCTCGGCCCGGCGCCCGAGTCGACCCAGCTCTCGATGTCGGCGCACCACATCCTCAACGCCGTCCCGTTCCAGATTCAGCGCCTCACGGTCGACGCGCCGGGCTTCCTGTCGACCGACATCGTCGAGTGGCTCCTGAGCCCGTGCCGCCCGCCGCAGCTCCAGTCACTTCGCCTCGGCGGCGACACGGGCGTCGGGCTCAACAAGCTGTTGCGGCGCACGACGGGCCGGTACGGCGAGCTCGCGCGCACGCTCGCCGAGGCGGGCATTGAGGTGACGACCTTGCCGTGACGGAGTGGCGAGGCGGCGAGGCAGGGAGGAAGGCGGGTCGGCCATCGTCGTCGCAGTGGCCTTTGATTTAGTTTCGTGTAATCTCTCGGTGCCGTCCATCTTCCTGCGAGCTCTCCTTGCTGTACAAGAGTCGCGCTGCCCGTCAAGCGAGTTCTGTGAGACGGACGACCGCTCACTCCGCCGACGGCGAGATGGTCTCGCTCGCCCACCGCACGCTCGCTCGCTTGCTTCGCACGACACTATGGCAGACTCGAGCAGCCAGCTCAACTTTCCACGTGCGTCCCTCTCCCGCACCCTCACGAGTTGTCGTCGCTCACCTGTGCCCCTTGTCGCCCCCTCGTCTTCATCAGTCCTCAAGCTCGTGTCGGACGCTCGCTCGACCTATGGCCTGAGGCACCGCGACTTTGACCGCTACAGGTCCGTCCCAGATCCCCGTGCACCTGTCCACGAGCCCCCGCTGACCCTGTTCCACCACCAGGTCGCACTGTGTCGCCAAGGTCCACCACCTCCGCAAGTCGCTCGGGCTCGGCCAGACGCAGGGCAAGAGCCGCAAGTACCAGAGCAAGCCCGTCCAGGCCGACAAGGTCACCTCGGACAAGTGCGTCCAGCTCTCTCTTCGCCCTCGCCTCGCACCCGGCTCACCCCACCCCCTCTCTCCTTCAGGCACCTCCAGATCGTCCTGTTCAACGCCGAGCGCTGCTGGGCCCACTCGCAGCAGCTCAAGAGCACCCTCGACGACCCGGCGACCCCGCCCGCGACCAAGCACCTGTTCGCCAAGCGCCTCACCAAGGCGTCGTCGCACGCCGCCGAGCTGCTCGCCCTCGTTCAGTCGCCCGACCTCGCCTCGCGTCTCTCGGCCTCCCACGTCGCCCAGGTGCAGGCCTATGCCCTCGTCCAGCGCGGCACGGTCGCGTTCGAGCGCAACAAGCACGCCGACGGCCTCGCCGCCCACAGCGCCGCGTTCGAGGTCCTCGGCCGCCTCGCCGAGACGGCACCGAGCGCGACCGACGAGGCGCTCGCCAACGAGGTCATGGACGAGGTCGAGCCCATGTTGCGCTTCTGCGCGTACCGCCTCGGGCTCGACACGGCGAGCGGCGTTGCGTCGATCGCCAAGGACGTCGCCGGGCGCGACATGGGCGCGCTCGTGCCCGAGTGGGACGCCCTGAGCGCCAAGCTCGGCGACGAGGGGCAGCAGGGCGAGCGCGAGAGCGTCGAGATCCGCTGGCGGGGCGAGGTTGTGCCCGTGCGCAACGCCGAGCTCGTCGGCCCGGCGCTCAAGGTCCAGGAGGCGCTCGCGAGCCTGCGCGAGGACGAGAAGCGCAGCGGCGCAAAGGGTGGCGAGGGCGCGCAGGGCAAGCGCAAGGCGGATGGGCAGGGCCAGGGCGGCAAGAAGGACATTCTCGGCGCGCGCCGCATGGGCACGTACGACACGGCGCTCCTCGTCCTGAGCGACGCCGAGGCCGTCGCCCGCCAACTCGTCGAGGACAACCAGGTGCGTCTACGACTCTCCCTCACGTCCTCGCTCCCCAGTCGAGACCGGCACCTGACCTTCTCGCCCTCGTCCAGATCGCCGCCACCAAGGGCAACACGGCCCGGTCCGAGGCGTCGGCTCGCCCTCTCTCGCTCTTCCACTCGTACATTCAGTACCACCTGCTCACGGTCCGCCTCAAGCGCGACCTCCTCCTCATCGCGTCGGCCGCCTCGAAGCTCGCGTCGCGCGAGGCCAAGATCCACGCGACCGAGGCGGCCTTCGTCGCCCAGACGGGCTCGCGCGACCCGCTCGTCGCCGAGGGCAAGGTGCGCCGGCTGCGCGCAAAGGCGTACCCGGGCCTCGTCAAGGTGTTCGACACGGCGCTCCTCAGCCTCGAGACGCTGAGGGACCTCGAGGCCGTCGAGCGCGACGACGAGTTGTCGACGACGGTCGAGGCGAGGATTGCGCTCGTGCGCGCGCAGAGGTGCGTCACCCTATCCTCTTTCCCTTTCTCTCCTCGTCGTCGCCGTTCGCGAACGAGACGAGCGCTCTCGCCGCCAGAATCGCCGACTTACGTCGTCTTTTCCCCTGCCCGCAGGTGCCAGTACCTCGCCCTCTCCTATGCCCTCGTCCCCTCCCTCTCGTACTCGACATCCTCGTCCTCTTCGACCGCCGCCGCCGCCTCGTCGCAGCAGCAGAAGCGCCTCACGACCTCGTACGGCTCGGCCCTCTCGCTCCTCTCGCGCGCCAAGCTCTACGTGCGCGAGGCTCGTCACGCCGCCTCGGCGCTCGAGTCGCTCGGCAACGACGGCGACGACGACGCAGGCGACGAGGCCGACCTCGTCGCGCCCGTTCTCGCGCTCGACGACGGCGCGTTCACGGCGCTCGAGCGCGCCCTCGAGGGCGACAAGCGCCGCCTCGCGCGCGAGTGGTTCGACGCGGCGGGTGGGCGCGTGCCCGGCGCCGACGGCGGCGACGGCGACGAGGACGAGGACGAGCTCGACCTCGGCGAGCTGAACCTCGCCGAGGGCGACAAGGCGCAGCAGCAGCAGCAGCAGCAGGCAAGCCGGCCCAAGGTGCCGTTCTACGACGTCGCGTTCAACTACGTGACGGCGTTCGACATGGACGCGATCGCGGCGCGGGCTGGGCTCGCAGGTGCGGGTGCGAGCGAGACGGCGGCTGCAGCGCCTGCTCAAGCTGCGTCGGCGCAGCAGGAGAGCGACGATGACGAGGAGGGGGAGGTCGAGCAGCAGCAGGAGAAGCCGGCCAAGCGAGGGTGGGGCTTTGGCTTGTTCGGCCGGGGCTGAGCGGGTCGTCGTGGTCGTCGAGGAGGAGGAGGAGGAGGTCCGTGCAACGACGAGCTCTTTCGCTCTCTCCCTCTCGCCTCTCTCGCTCTCAAGAGGCTCGTGTCGCACCAGGAGAGACGACGAGTCCATGCTTTGCAGGTAGGATGAGTGGGGATGAGAGATTGAGAGAGACCTCGAGAAAGAGAAAGTCGAGAACGGCTCGAGGGAATGGAGGGGAATAGACTAGACGAACGGGTAGGGGTGACAGGAGAGAGAGGAGAAGGTAGAGAGATTCCGTGTAGAAGAGGCGGCGAGAGGCATGTAGGGGAGATGACGATGAGGACGAGGAGGAGAGTTGAACCCAAAAAAGAGAAAAGTGGACGACGCAGTCCGACGACAAGCCCGAGAGAGAGAGGAAGAGAGGCGCAAGGAGACTGCAGTGTAGGGGAATGAGGGAGGGGAGGAGACGAGACGAGGGAGAGGGAGAGGGAGCCGAGCCGCTGAGAGCCGGCGCGCGCTCGAGCCCCGCTCAGGGCTGCGGCGCCCCCGGCGCACCGCCCTGCCCGAGCATGGCCTGCTGCTGCTGGTACGCCTGCCACTGCGCGCCGTACTGCTGCTCCCACTGGCGCATGGCGGCCGCCGCCGCCGCCGGGTCCTGCGGCGCCGCAGGTGCGCCGGCAGGTGCGCCCGCGCCGTTCGGGGCCGGCGGCGCGCCGCCGCCGGGCGCAGGGGCGTACATGCCGTACCCGCCGGGCCCGCCAGGAGGGCCGCCAGGGCCGCCGCCCATCTGCATTCCGCCGCCCATGCCGCCGCCCATGCCACCCATGCCCATCCCTCCTCCTCCTCCTCCGCCGCCGCCGCCGCCGCTCGGGCCCTCGCGGTCCTTGCCCCAAGAGCACTTGAGCCCGCGACCGTGGACCATGGTGCCCGTCAAGTTGACGATGGCGTTTGCGGCGTTCTCGTGCGAGTCGAGCTTGACAAAGGCAAAACCGCGGTCGGGCTGCATGCGCAGCTCGACGATGTAGCCGAACCCTTGGAAGAGCGGGATCAGGTCGGCCTGGGTCGCGTAGGGGACGAGGTTGCCGACGTAGATGGTCGTGTTGGACGGCGGGGCCTGGGTCAGGACGGCCTCGTACTGCGGGCGGCGCGAGCGAGGTGCAGGTCGGGTCGGTGCGGGTCGAAAGGGGAGGACGGGAAGGGGCGAGAGATGGGCGAAATAGTGTCAGTCTAGTGCGACGAGGTCGTCGAGAGAGAGAGAGGGACAGAGAGAAAGAGGGGACGCACGCTCGCGCCGCCGGTGCCGAACCCTCCTCCCGCGCCGCCCATGGGTGGCGCGCCGCCGCCGCCGCCCGAGTTGTTCTTCTGGTTGGCCCAGTTGACGCGGATGGCCCTGCTGCCGAGCCACTCGCCGTTCATCGAGTTGATGGCCTGCTCGGCGTCGGTGCGGTCGCGGAAGGCGAGGAAGCCGTACCCGCGCGACTTGCCCGTGTTCATGTCCCACATGACGCGCGCGTCCGACAGCGAGCCGAACGCCTCGAAGGCCTTTTGGAGGACCGAGTCGGTCACCTCGGGCGAGAGGTCGCCGCAGAAGAGGTGGAAGTGGTTGGTGAGGTCCTCCTTCTGCATGTTGGTGTTCTGGTACGCCCAGTTGACGCGGATCTCCATGTCAAAGATGCGCCGCCCGTTGAGCGTCTGGAGCGCCGTCTCGGCCGAGCGCATCTCGTGGTACTCGACAAAGCTGTGTGCGCGAGGGAGGGAGGCGAGGGGTCAGGGGCGAGGTTCGGGGACAGGCGAGGGCGCGACGAGGGATGAAGGGGGGCGCACCCGTAGTTGATGCCGCCGTGCTGGAACGAGCGGTCGGGGATGATCTTGACGCCGAGAACGGGGCCTGCGGGTGCACAGGCGGGGTGAGCAAAGGGAGTTCCGGCTCGCGACGAGGAGGGAGAGGGGGCGGGACGGACCTGCGATGGCAAAGATCTCCTGGAGCATGTACTCGGTGACACGGGGCGACAGGTTGCCGATGTACAGGTGGGCGCGTTTCGGGGGTTCACCGCCGGGTCCGAGGAGGGAGCTGTTGGCGACAAGGGAGAGAGGGTCAGGTCGAGGGGTCGCACGAGCGAGAGGAGCGAGGGAGAGTGGGGAGACTGACGGTGCACCGTAGGCGGGTGCGATGGATGTCGGGAAGGCGTCCATGGCGAGCGGGTGCGACGCGGGTTGCGGAAGAAGGCTCGAGAGAGAGGCGACGAGGAGGAGGGGCGGGGTCGAGGGTGGGACGGGGCCGGGTGCGGGTGGTAGTCGGCGAGAGGTGGAGCAGTGGCGAGTCGAGTAGCACTGGTGGATGGCCCGATCAAGCGCAGCTGCTCGACAGACGACGACAACCAGATGAAGCCGTGAGATGGTCGACGAGGCGTGGCTCACGCTCTCGCTCTCGGTCCCACGCAGCAGAGCACCGGCTCGCACACTCTGTGCACCACCGACTCGCACTCGCGCCCGCCACCGCCCCCCTCAACCCGCACCCTCGCCCGCTCCCCCCTTCCCCTCGTCCCCCCCTCCTCCTCCCCCTCCTCCCGCTCCCCGACCGCCGCCATGGCCCAGTGGTCCCCTGCCCAGCACGCCCACCAGCACCTCGCTCCTCACCCCCACCCACACCCGCAACTCGGCGGCAAGGGCCTCCCGCCTCAGGTCTCGGCACCGGCCTACCTCCCGCACCACCCCTCGTCCCCAGCTCCGTCCTCCTCAGCCAGCAGCTCGCGCTACGGCACCCTCGGGCCTCCACCCGACTTGACAGAGCGCTTCAGGGTCAAGCACAAGTACCTCGCGTACCAGAAACGCTGGCACAAGGGCCTCGACGTCCGTCTCCTCCTCCTCTCCCTCGCCCTCTCCTTGCACCTGCACTGACCACGTCGCCCCGTCAAACAGCTGCGCAAGGACCTCGAGCTCGAACTCGCAGAAAAGGAGGCAAAGGTCCAAGCCCTCCAGGACGAGGTCGAGTGCGTCCTCCTACCCTCTTGCCCTCCCCCTCGACGTCCTCGACACTGACGCCTCTCGCCGCCCGCAGCCTCATCATCGACCAGATCCACGACTCGGACTACGCCCACCTCGTCCCGGCTCGCGACGACCTCTTCTCGGACGACGACGACGACGGCGAGCAGGACCTCGACGACGACGAGGAGGAGGGGGCAGCAGAGGGAGACGGTGACGACGAGCCGCACGTCAAGGACGAGGACGACGAGGACGGCGAGGGCGCGTCGCGTGCGAGGGCGAGGGCAAGGGCCGGCAAGAAGCGCAGCCTCGAGGACGACGAGGCGCGCAGGAGGTCCGAGATCGAGGCAAAGTACAGCATCGACGGCTCGAGGCAGAACGTGCGTCCTCCTCTCTCTTCCCTCTTCCTCCGTGAACCTCGGACGCACCGGCAGGACGACGCACTCACGCTCCTCCTCCTTCCGCAGGTCACTCGCGCCGAGCCCGCCCTGGAACCCGCACCCGCACCCGCACCCGCACCCGCGCCCGCGCCCACGCCCGCACACGCCGACGGCCCTGCGCCCAAGCGCCTCAAGCTCACGTTTGGCAGCGGCGCAGGAGGAGCGGGCGCGAGCGCGTCGCTCGCGTGAGCTCGTCGAGCCAGGCGGGACTGCGAGGGAGCGGTCGAGGAGGAGGAGCTTGATCTGTTCGTCGTCGGCGTCGTCGTGCGCCCTTGTTGTCACTAGTATACGATTCTCTCTCGCTCGAGGCCGTGGCGAGAGAGACTCTTGCCCGCTTTCGTCTCGATCGCTCTAGAGGCTCGAGCGTCGCCGGTCGGTCCTCCTTCGCAACGCTCGCCGGCGGTTCCTCGGCGTTCGTGCATTAAACGTTCGTGTCTCCTGTCGTCGTCGACGGACACGCGTCGACGCTCCGCAGCAGTACCGGGCCGGATGATCGGGCCCCTGTCCGTCGTCCGCCCCTCTCCTCTCGTCGTCTCGCTCTTTTTCTTTCGCTCGTCCTCGCGAGCTTGCTCTCGTCCTTCTGCATCTCCGGCTCGGCTCTCGAGCGAGCATTCGACATGCCTCAAGCCCCGGCACACGCTGCATTCCCGCTCTACCGACCAGCGCGCGCGGGCGACCCGGAGGACGTGCGCCAGCAGTTTGCGCAGTGGCAGTGCGAGCTTGAGAGGTGCTCGGGCGAGGTGGCAACGAGTACGTCCCTTCTCTCTACTCTTCCTTTCGGTCGAGCGCGACGTGGGGCCGTGCGCTGACCTCTCTTCCCGCAGACGAGCAGGGTAAGCTCCTCCTCCCGCTCTCGCAGCCCTCGCCGTCGATGACTCACTGACTCTGCTTCTTCGACAGCCGAGGAGGAGCGTAGAGGCATCATGTTACTCGCGGCACGGTGCCTCGCCGGCCTCGAGACGGGCCTCGTCGGGCGGGATCTCGCGGCCGAGCCAACTGTGCGTCCCTCTCCTCTTCCCTTCCTCGCCCCTCGCTCGCTCGACCTTACCCTTCCTTGCTGCCTCGCAGCACGAGGCCAAGCTTCACGTACTCCACGCGGCCGAGGCCGAGGCGCAGACGGCCCTTGCTCGTCTTGCGGCCGAGCTCGCGCAAGTGCACGGACCGCGTGCAGAGCTGCGCGACCGTCTCAGCTCGACTCGGCGGCTCCCCCTGCGCCGCTCAGGTGCGTCGACCTTCCTCTCGTCTCTCCCTATGCCACTGTGTGGGCGGCGCAGGACGCACTGACCGCCCCTCGCGCGCAGACTCGACCAAATTCTGGAGCCTCGAGTCGCACATCGGGAACCTCCTCGCGCAGCAGTTCTACGCCAAGCTCCTCGTCAAGCACTACGACCTCCTGCGCGACCTGTGCGACCACGCCGAGGCGGCTGCGTCGAGGCCGTCGTCGTCAAGTGGTCGTTCGACCCGCCCGCCGTCGTTCGAGGACGAGCCGAGCAATCCGGCGCCGCCGTACCAGCGTGACGCGTCCGCGCGAGCGAGCACGAGTACGTAGTTCTCATTCTCTCGTCGACGTTCCGGAACTGACGAGCTGGGAGCGCGCCGCAGGTCGCAGGTCGTCGGCGTCGTCCTCAAGCCGCGGCGTCCGGTCGAGCGCTCGGCGCAGCATGCACAGTCTCGGTCCGTCTCCCTCTTTCCTCTCTCTATAGATCTCGCGGCCTGACTAACCGAGTGCGAGCGCTCTCACGCAGGCGCGTCCTCGGCGTACTGGCCTCGTCGTCGGTGATCGGCGTCGATGCGCCACTAGCTCCCTCGCGGCGTACTCGAGCTCTCTTAGACCTTCCACCCCATCATACACGATTTAGACTGCTGCAATATCGAGTCCGTCAGGTTCTGGCGCCCCTGTGAGAGACGAGAGATGCATCGAGAGCGGTTTGGGAAGGTCGCCGAGCGACGCTCGGTGCTACCAGAACTGGTCTGTGACGAACGGTCCATCGTCGAGTGCTCGCCTCGATGGGTCGATCCCGCCTTGCACCGTCGAGAGAGAGCGAGGTGTACAGCGAGAAATCGAGTCCCTCCCCCTGGACCTCGTCGTGAGCGCAGAGTCGACATGTATTTCCCACAGACCTCGTCACGGCTTCTCTCGCTCCGCGCCCACTCGTAACCACACGAACGGTGACCGCAAGAGAGAATGAGCCGGTAGGACGAGCTACTGTCGCCCCTGCTCGTCCGACTTGAGGAGGCGGGCGAGCGGAGCAGCTCACGCTCTACAAGACAAAGTGGCTCGGGAAACGCGCTCGATTGCATCGCAGACACGTCCTCGTCCGACCCTGCACAAGCAGAACACCGTAACCCTGCTAGATCAAGAGCTAGCGTTTGAGCAAGGGTGCGCAGGATCCCCCTGTCTCGAGTAGGTGGCCGGGCGCACGGGCGCTCCGCAGGGGTGCGCACCGTGCGAGCGACTCACCACAGTGCGCCCGCTGCCCTCAGGGGCACGTGAGGGCGGGCGCGGCCTCGTAAAGACCCGTCCGCGACGGCTCGACTCGCTGAGCCGTCGGGACGAGTGCGACGACGAACAAGAGCTCTGAGCGGGTCTGGGACTCTCAAGGGACGATGAAAGCTTTCGGAAAGTGAAAGGCGCCGTCGCGCGGCGCAGGAAGGACGCGAAAGGAAGCTCTCGGGGCCGAGAAGGGGGAGGTGCCATCGAGGGCGCGACTAACCTGCGGCACGAGGTCGAGAGGGTCAGTGCGCGGCTCGGCGAGGAGCCTAGACCTATGTGAAGGTCCTGCAGGGAAGACAGAGAGTGCGTGGGACGTACAAAGGACAACATGAGCCGCCTCGAGGTCGAGAGCCCGCCTCGCGTCGTCCAGAAGACCGCCCTGCTCGCCTTGCGCAGCCGTTTCGCCTGTGAGCTGACCGAGTCAGTCCATCAAGACCCCTGCACCGCGTGGCGAGGTAGCAGAGGGGGCGAGGGGAGAGGGAGAGGGGGGCCAAACACGGGGAGGCGGGGAGGCGGTGGACGCACCAGTCGCCCACAGCCCACGCAGCGCGGCCGCCTGGCCCAGTAGTCTCCTTGATGCTGCCATAGTCCTCGACGACGATGCCCACAGGCCCATGAACCGTTGCCACCAGTCGAGAGAGGTCGGACGACGCGAGTTGCTGATGAAGATGCGACGCGCCCTGCGCCGTCGACGAGCGCTCGCGGCGGTGCGCGTGTAGCTCGAGGGTGTTGCCGAGGTATGTAGGTCACAGGCGAGCCGATTCGAGTGAGCCCAGCCGTGAGGGTCGAGTGGTTGAGGGAGACAAGCACCGACACCACCGTCGCGTCAAGTCGTGCTGCACTTGGGACGGCTCAGGCTCGCTCATCGAGCCTTTTTCGAGGACCGCAGAGCAAGGAAAGCCCGTGCAGAGTGTGCTGATGCTCTCGTGGAGTCGCGAGCGGACGCGGCGTACGACAAAAGAGCTCGAGATACAGAACTGAAGAGACGAACCGCACTAGATCCTGAAGAGCAGGTGCCTCGCGCCTCTCACGCACCGACGCCGACCCCCCTCGCACCCCTGACGCCCGCTCCGCCCTCGGCGTCGTCCCTCTCGCGCTCGCCCTCCCTCGCCTCGCGCTCGCGGACCCTCCTGCGCTCCCTCTCGCGCTCGGCCTCTGCGCCGCCCGCGCCGAGCACCTTCTCGACCTTGACCTCGGCGACGACGGCGGCGCGGAGGGCGCGCACGAAGCGGTACAGGTCGCGCGACGTGTTGAGGTGGGCGAGGAGCGGGGCCGAGAGCGAGGGAGGGAGGAGCGAGGCGGGCGTTGGCGAGGAGACTGCGCAGGCAGAGAGGGGCTCGTCAGTTCCCGGAAAAGTGACGAGAAGGTCGATAGAGAGGGGAGAGAGGGGGCGCACGAGCGTAGGTAGGCTGCGACACGTCGAGGTCGAACGAGAAGGTGCGCGCGTGCGACGCCGGGTCGATGTGCTGGAACTTGAACTGGATGACGTCGGCTGCGAGCGAAGAGGTGCACGTTCGCGCCCGAGTCAGTACGGGGACCGAGGGGGAGTGGACGCAGAGAGGAGAGAAGAGGACGCACGAGCACGGCCGCGAATCTTGAGGCCGAGCTTGTGCTCGAAGAAGGCGAGCTCGGGGCCGTTGCGCGACACCTGCTGCGAGAAGGCTGCACGCTGCTTGTCCTTGACTGCGGGCGACGAGGTTTGGGTGAGTGGGCGAGGGCAGGAGAGAGGCAGAGAGAGAGGGGGGACGCACGCTCTCTCCTCGCGGCGAGCTTGGCGAGGACCTCCTTGACCTCGGCCTGGGCCGTCTCGACCTGGACGGCGAGGGCCCTACCGCGCGCCGTGACGTCGCCCTCGAGCTCCCTCGCGCGGTCGAGCTCGTCCTTCTCGCGCTGGACGGTGCGGACCATGTCCTTGGCGGCGTCGCCGAGCTCGCGCGTCATCTTGTCGAGGCGGCGCTTCTCTGCCGACATTTCCTCGAGGGCCTCGAGGACGGCCTTGCGCTGGTGGGCGAGGCTGGCGCCGAGGAGGTGGCACGCCGTGTCGACGGCATCGCGGTCGGCGTCCATGACGAGTCGCAGGTCGTCGTCGTCGGCGTAGGGGCGGTCCGGGTAGGCGCGGCTGTTGATCGGGGCGAGAGGGGCGAGGACGGGGGCCTGGGCCTGCTGCTGCTGCAGCAAGGCCGAGGGCTGCTGGTGGGCGAACGAGGCGCGGGACGAGGGGGTGCTCGGGTTGAGGAGGCGGCGGGCCGAGCGAGGGGTGCCGGTCGAGGTGTAGGTGCCGCGCGGGGTGGAAGGGAGGCCGCTGGGCCCTGCGGATGCGGCCATGGACGAGCGAGGGGCGAATGCGGTGCTCATCAGTCCAGGTCGGGTGGGAGGTGGTTGACGAGGAGGAGGAAGTGAATGGGGCGGGCCGGTTCAAAGGTGGGTGGGCTGGTCGGGGCGCGGGTGAGGCTGCGGTGGTGCGTCTGCAGCTGTGCGTGACGGTGCCGTGGTCGAGAGGGAGACAAGCGAGAGGTTGAGCGAGGTGACCCGCGTCGAGTCGCGCGCGAGCCGGCCTCTCGCTCGCTCTGAGGACTGGGTGGCTGGATGGACCTGCAAGCAGTGCTACAGAGAGAACAGGCGACCCGTCAAAGACCTGCCCAGAGAGCTGCGAGGGAGCGACGGCGGCTCACTCAACTGTGGCCGAGCCTCCCCCTTCTCTCCTCTCGCTCCTCCCCCCCACTCTCTGCGCCAGAGCTCTCATTGCCTGCGACCCAGTGACCTCTCGACCCTCGGGACCATGGCTCACCGCAACCCGCCACCGCTCTTCTCCCACTCGCCCGCTCCCCCTCCTCCTCCTCCTCCCCTCATCGCCGCCCACGCTCCCCCTCCTCCTCCGCACTCGGCAGGCCACAACAAGGAGAACCCGCACCACCACTACACCCACCACGCCATGCCCCTCGTCGCACCCGCCCCACCTTCCCCCGCCCTCTCGTCCCACTCGCACTCGTCCTCGTCGCACCACTCGACCCACCACCACCACCGTCCGCCCGCCTCGCCGACCAAGGCCGCACCGACTACGGCCGTCAACCACTACGTGCGGCCCCTCGGCGGGTCCGGCATCGCCCACGGCGGCGGCACCGCCTTCTCGCACCGCCCGCCGACCGCCGCCGCCGCCGAGCCCACCATGACGCAGCTCCTCGCGACCCAGGGCACCGCCCTCGGTCACTATGCCTCGCCGAGACCGCTCCCGCACCACCACCAGCAGACCCAGTCGGGCGACGCCACCATGGCCAATGCGACCGGCGTCCTCAGCTGGCGCAAGGGCCAGGGCTTCAAGGAGTGGGAGAAGGTCAAACTCGCGTCGCCCGAGGTCAAGCGCAAGGCCGACGTCGCCCAGCTGTGTGCGTCCCCTTCCCCCTCGTCTCGTGGTCGCGCCGTCGAGGCGCCGGTACTGACTGCGCTCGCCCCGCCCCGCCCGCAGTCTTCTACGACCACTACTTCGACCTTTTGACGTACCTCTCGTCGCGCAAGGCCCGCCTCTCGTCCTTCCAGCAGTCGGTCGCCGCACGCCCCTCGCTCACCCAGCCCGAGGTCCACGCCGAGTGGGCGTCGTACACGGGCCGCGAGCGCGTCGTCCTGCGCAAGCGCCGCACCAAGCTCAAGCTCGCCCAGTTCCACATCGTGACCCAGGTCGGCCAGGGCGGCTACGGCGAGGTGTTCCTCGCGCGCCACAAGGAGACGAACCAGGTCGTCGCGCTCAAAAAGATGAAGAAGCGCACGCTCGCCAAGATGGACGAGGTGCGTCCCCTCTCTCTGCTTCGGCGCCTCTCGCTCCCCTCGCGCGAACCGGTCACTGATTACAGCCGGTGCTTGACGGACAGATCCGGCACGTCCTCATCGAGCGCGACATCCTCGCGTCGACGTCGTCGCCCTGGCTCGTCCGCCTCCTGTACGCGTTCCAGGACCCGGAGCACGTCTTCCTCGCCATGGTCAGTCGGCGCTCTCGTTCTCTCACTCGACCGAGTATGTTGTCGTCTCGAGGCGATGGCGTGCCCGGTGTTGACGGTAGCGGCCGCGACTGACGACCCTTCCCTCCCGCCTCGCAGGACTTTATCGCCGGCGGCGACTTCCGCACGCTCTTGAACAACTCGGGCGTCCTCAAGGAGGAGCACGCGCGGTTCTACATCTCGGAGATGTTCTCTGCCGTCGCAGAGCTGCACAAGCTCGGCTACATCCACCGCGACCTGAAGCCCGAGGTGCGTCGCACGGACCGCCTCGCGAGCGGCAGCTTGCGCTCCGGCCGCAGGCTCAGTCGCTCACGTCCTTTGTCATTGCGCGCAGAACTTCCTCATCGACACGACGGGCCACATCAAGCTCACCGACTTTGGGCTCGCGGCCGGCGCGCTGAACCCGGGCAAGATCGAGCACCTCAAGGACAAGGTCCGTCTGCCTCTCGCCGCCCTATCTCTCTCTCTCTCTTCGTCATGACATCCTCTCTGACTCGGCCTTGCGCACGCAGCTCGACTCGGTCGCCGACTCGCCCCTCATCCTGCGCTCGACGATCGAGATGAAGTCGCTGTACAAGTCGATCCGCATGGCCGACGCGCGCTACGCCGACTCGGTCGTCGGCTCGCCCGACTACATGGCCATCGAGACGCTGCGCGGGCAGAGCTACAGCTACTCGGTCGACTACTGGAGCCTCGGGTGCATCCTCTTCGAGTGCGTCTCTCCCTCTTTATCTCTCCCTTTGTCAGCCCCGAGATTAACCTTTGCCCTCGCCGCGACAGGTTCCTCGCCGGCTTCCCTCCCTTCTCGGGCGCGTCGCCCGACGAGACGTGGCTCAACCTCAAGAACTGGCAGCGCGTCCTGCGGCGCCCCGAGTACACGCGCCCCGAGGACCTCATCTTCAACCTGTCGGACCTCGGGTGGGACGCCATCACGCGCCTCATTGCGCCAAAGGAGTCGCGCCTGAGCTCGATGGACGACGTCAAGCACCACGGCTTCTTTGCCGGCGTCGACTGGGACGGCCTCAGGGACCGCAAGGCGCCGTTCATCCCGGCGCTCGACTCGGAGATCGACGCCGGCTACTTTGACGACGTGCGTCCTCGTCTCTCCTTCCCCTTCTCGTCGCGCACTCGACGACGCCGAGCCTGACCCTCTCTTCCTCTCTCTCTCTCGCGCCGCACCCGCAGTTCTCGTCCGAGGCCGACATGGCCAAGTACGCCGAGGTGCGCGACAAGCAGCGCGCCGTCGACGGCGTCGCCGAGCGCGCGCTCGACGCCAAGCTCGCGCGCGGCGTCTGGGTCGGCTTCACGTTCAAGGCCAAGAAGGAGGCCGACAAGGCGCTGCGCGAGCGCGAGCGCGCCGAGGGGCAGCAGCAGCAGAGGGAGGAGGACGAGGAGGAGCAGCTGTACACGCTGTTCTGAGCGCGACGAGGGAGTACGCCCGCCGTCGACTTGTACCACCACCACCATCACGCCTGCCGTCGTCGCATAATCCCGCCTCGACCGGCTTTCCCTTTCGACCTTTCCCCTCGCCCGTCTTTTGCCCTCCCCCATCTCGTTCGTATCTATCGCCTCGACACCCATCCACAGACACTACCCCCTCTCGCGCATCGTTCGCCTCGTCCCACCCTCGTTGTACCATTCCTAGCCTTTCTTTGCCTTCCCCTCGTTTTCCCCTTCTCGTTCGCGTCGTTCCACTCTCTCGTGCACCTCTCTGTCATGTGAATACGCTCTCTGCCCTCTCGGTGTGCCGATCTCGACTCGAGAGCAGCCTATCGCAGAGCGCGAGCGAGGAGGAGGTTCGACTTGAGAAGGTGGTTCTGGGTGGTGCTGTTCTAGCTCCTTGCAGTGCCTCTCGCTTCCGCCCGAAGGACTCGACTCGAGCTCAGTGACGTGCTCGACAGGTTTGCTTACGACTCGGAGAGAAAGAGTAGCAACTGAGAGAGAAACAGCACCAACTCTCGGTTTGAGAAGGCTAGCTTGGACCTCTCTCTAGCTCCTTTCACACAGTCTCTCCTTCCTTCTCTCGACTCGAAGTTGGTCAGTGCGAGCTCGGAGCAGCTCACGAGCCCCCGAGCTGGACTACTCTCGACTGAGAGTGAGAGGAACAGAGCGAGTCCGTCTCCTTGACAAGGTGGTTCCGGGTGCAGCTGCTCTAGCTCGTTGCAGTGCCTCTCGCTTTCGCCAAAGTGGCTCGACTCGAGCTCAGTGACGTGCTCGACAGGTTTGCTTGCGACTCAAAGAGAAAGAGTAGCAACTGAGAGAGAAACAGCACCAACTCTCGGTTTGAGAAGGCTAGCTTGGACCTCTCTCTAGCTCCTTTCACACAGTCTCTCCTGCCTTCTCTCGACTCGAAGTTGGTCAGTGCGAGCTCGGAGCAGCTCACGAGCCCCCGAGCTGGACTACTCTCGACTGAGAGTGAGAGGAACAGAGCGAGTCCGTCTCCTTGACAAGGTCAAGTTCCCTTCGAGCGTCGAGGGGGGCCGAGCGCTCGTGAGAGATGCGGCAAAACGGTCGTGGCATGACAGAGAGCGAGCCGCTAAGGAGAGCACTGCAAGAAGAATACACAAGCCCTCGTCCCTCGCTCAACGCTCGACCGATCCCCCCTCGTCGCGCTCGTCCTCAAACCTGCTCCCCCTCGCACCGACCCACTCGCCCTGCAGCACGCGCTCGCGCCGCCCGTCGCTGCTGTAGATGCTGATCGTGCTGGTCCCACCTCCTCCCCTCCTCAAGCTGCTGTCTCTCGACGCCGCCGAGCCCTCGCGCTCGAGCTCGCGCCTGAGCTGCGCGTTCTCGTCGACGAGCGAGCCCGCGTACTCGACGAGCTCGTCGACCTGCCGGCGCAGCGCGGAGACCTCGTCGACGTGCGCGTCGCGCTCGTCGTGCAGCGCACGGACCTCGAGGCGCAGGGCGCCGACCTCGTCGTCGTGCTCGGCCATCTCGTCGGCGAGCTGCGTGTGCAGGGCCCGGTTGGCGGCGCGCAGCTGCGACACGCGGTGCTCGTACTCGGGCGGCGGGACGGGCGACGACGAGGAGGAGCGGCGCGACGGCGTCGAGGTGCGGGCCGGCGCGGTGAGGGCGTGCGACGGGTGGAGCGACATCGGGCGCGGCGGGACCTGGATCGACAGCGACGGGTTGCGGCGAGGCCCAGTCTTGGTCTTGCTCGAGGTGAGGGGCTCGTCGACGAGCGGCGCGGGCTCGTCGTGAGCGTCGACGCCGACGAGCTTGACGATCGGGACGCTGCTCGGCCGGCCTGCGGGAGCCGACGAGCGCCACGCCGACTTGACGTGCTCGTTGACCGGTGGCGGCGACGACGCCTTGTCGTTCTCGAGCGCCGAGCGCGCTCTCGCCGACGGCGCGTTCTCGGGACCGCCGACCGTGTGCGGGACCCGCAGCGAGCTCGAGCGCGGCTGCGTCGGCCTCGACGGCTCGCTCTTCTGCGGCGGCGACGAGTCCTGGTAGATCGTCATGGTCATGCCCGAACGCTTCGCCGCCGCCTCGGACGCCCGGGGTCCCGCCTCGAGGGCGCGAAGACGTGGCGAGCACGGCGCCGACGCGCCGAGCGCGAGGAGCTCGCCGAACTCTGCGAGCTCGGGCGAGAGGATGGGCGAGAGCGGCTGGTACTCGTGCAGGGCGCGCGACAGGTTGGACAGGGCGGGCGAGCGCTTGAGATGGCTCGAGGTCGAGGTGCGGGTCGACGGCGCGATGCTCGGCTGGCGCTGGCGGCTCGTCGGCGTCGACGTGCGCGGCGCCGCAAAGGCCGTCGACTGGCGCTTGACGAGCTTGTGCGGGTGGCGCTGCGTCGGCGAGACCATGCCCGTCGTCGGCGACGGCGTCGGCTGCGGGCTGACGAGCTCGAAGCTGATCGGGCTCGACGACGCCGACGGCGCCGCGTCCTTGAGCAGCGACGTGCGCTTCGAGCCTCCTGCGTTAAAGAGGCTGCGCAGGCGCTGATGCATCGACGGCCGAGGGCGGACGCCGCGGGCCTCGTTCGACGGCGCCGACGCCGATACCGCGCCAGTCGCGGTCGCCGTCGAGTCGTGCGACGGGCGCGATGCGGCGAGGAACGCCGGGTCGATGCGGATGCCCGTCGGCGTGGCCGGGAGCGAGTGCGAGCCGCCCGAGCCGGACGACTTGCCCGTCGAGGAGCGCTCGACGCTCGGACGCGTCGGCGCGGCGAGGCGGTACGGCGACGGCGACGTCGCACGCGTGCCGAACGACTCGATCTGGGGCGGCGCCGAGGTGGGCACGTCGAGGCGGTGCGAGGTCGGGAGCGGCAGGGTCGAGCTGACCGGCGAAGGAGGAGGGCCGAGGTACGAAGGGAACGTGTAGTCGCGATTGATCGCCTCGTACGACGCCCGCGACGCCATCGACTCGTGCGACCCGACGCAGCCGTCTGCGGACGAGCGCAGCTGGACGAGGACGCCCTGGGCGCGCCCAAAGTGCTGGCGATGCGCCGTCTGGGCCGTCTCGCTCGCCCTGACGACGACGGGCGCCGGCGGGAGCGGGAACACGACAAACTCGGGCGCTGAGACGGAACGCGTGTGCCCAGACGAGGCGTCGTCGAAGGCGGAGGCGAGAATGGACAAGTAGTCGACGTGCTGCGGCGGCAGCGGCGCCTGCTCGACGGGGCGAGGGTGGCGGAACCCGAGGAGGACCGAGTAGAAGTGCTGCGCCAACCTGCGTCACAGGGTGTCGACCGAGTCAGTCTTTGTGTTCCCCGAGCGGGAGGATGAGACGCTGAGAGCGGGCTCACCCGTTCGAGCGCACGAGCCACTCTGCCTCCTCGACCGAGTCGGCCTGCAGCACGATCTTGAGGCTCGCGAGGACCGTCGCGTCGAGCTTCTTGCCGGACGAGGGTGGCGAACCGAGAGCAGGTGCTGGCGGATACAGGGCGGCGAGGCTGAGAGGGCCGGGCGAGTACGGGTTCGGGTGCAGGAAACGGTGTGCGGCGACGTCGACAATCTGTAAACCGAGGGGCGCTCTTATCGTCAGGTCACCGCACGAGACGCGAGGGGTGCGGACGAGGAGAGTGACAGGGGACGCACCGTGTAGCGCTTGGCCGGGTCGACGACGAGGCAGTGCGAGATGAGGTCGCTCGCGGCGGACGGCACGTCCGGGTGGTCCTCGTACACGCCCGAGCGGATCCTGGCGAACAGGGCCGGGTTGTTGTCGTCGTCAAAGGGCAAGACGCCGGCGAACATGGCGTACAGGACGACGCCGGCCGACCACACGTCGGCGAGCGCGCCGTCGTACGGGAGGCCCTGCGCACGGTCGACGAGCGTCAGTCACCCATGCGTGCATTTGCGACGATCGTCTGCTCGACGGAGCGAGAGGGACAGGCTCACAGAGACGATCTCGGGCGCGGCGTAGTGCGGGCTGCCGCAGCTCGTCTTGAGGAGCGTGTCCTCGGGCTGGAACGACGCGAGGCCCATGTCGGCGATCTTGAGCGTGAGCTCGTCGTGCTCGTCGCGGCACAGGAGCAGGTTCTCGGGCTTCAGGTCGCGGTGGGCGATGCGGAACCGGTTCAGGTGCGTGAGCTGCGGGACCGGGCGCGAGAACGGGTCAGTCTCGCGAGGCGGCGATCGCGAGCGCAGATACGCTAAGAGAAAGTGGACGCACAGCGCTGACGAGCTCGAGGAAGAGCTTCTGCACCTCGCACGGCTCGAGGAAGTGCTCAGCGACGTAGTCGAACAGGGCGCCGAGGCTGCAGTACTCGGTGATGAGGAAGCTGCGGACGGTCTCGCCGGTCAGTATGTTCATCACGAGAAGGGTGGAAGAAGGTGACGCACAAGTGTGAGGGCGTCTCGAACACGTCGTAGAGCTGGATGAAGTGCGGGTGCGGTGCGATGAGCTTGAGCAGGCTGATCTCGCGAGCCGCATGCGCGCCGTGCTGCACATTGGACGACATACGTCAGAGAACGTCGAGCGGGCGGGAGGAAGGGAGAGAGAGGCGAGGGCGCACCTTGTGGCCGTCGGGAACGCGCACGACCTTCTTGACGGCGGCGTACTGGCCCGACTTGACGCTCACGGCGAGCCGCACCGTCCCTGCACGAGTTGGTTGTCAGTGTCGGGGACCTAGTCGAGCGCAGAGAGGAAGAGAGCGATGGACGCACCGCCCGTTCCCCTCCCGAGGCTGTCCCCGATCCTCCACTCGCCGACCATCTTGAACGACAGCTCGCCGTGCTTGGCCCCGACCCTCTGCCGCGGCACCGTACTCCTCAGGGGCGCGCCGCGCTCGGCATCGCCGCGCTTGGGCGCCGAGAAGCGCCACCAGTCGTCCTCGGTTGGCTGACCGGCGACGAGCGACGCCGAGCTGGGCCCGGCGGGCGAGAGGGCCGCGGCAGAGTCGGGGCGGGCCGAGATGAAGGACGACTGAGGGCGCTGGCGGGCTTGGGCGGGGCTTGAGGGGCGCGTCGAGGTGGGAGGCTCGGGGGGAGATGAAGTCGGGACGAGGCGACCGTGAGCCGGTGAGGGCACGGGCTGCGGTGGGCGCAGGTCGACGCCGACATTGAGCGCCATGAGGATGCGCTCCGAGGAGTTGGACGCGAGCGAGTGACGAGGGGTGAGGTGGGCGGAGCGAGCGCTGCGAGGGAAGGAGGGGAAGAGGAGGTCCGACCATCTCGCGCCGAGCACAACGTCGCTGCTGCCGCATCTTGCTCGTGCAGGTGCTAGATCAGAAGCTGCGAGTCTCATGGGCGAACGAGGCCTCAAGAGGAGCGCAATGAAGTAGAGATCTGCTCGACGTCGAGGAAGGCGAGGTCAACCCTCTCGGCCTCGCCGGCGAGGAGGAAAGGAAGGAAAAGGAGGACGCACTGCAAGACGCTAATGTACAACGACACTGCAAGAGAGGAACCCGCGACCTCGTCACTGCCCTTGCCCGCTCGGCGGCATCCCCCAGTCGTCCAGCTCGCCGTCGCTCGACCCCTCTCCCTCGTCCCCCTCGCCGCCAAGCTCCTCCTGCCCGGCCTCGCCCTCGACGTCCGAGCTGCCGAGCACGAGCACGTCGGCCTTGCCCTTGTCCCGCTCGACTTTCCTCCTCTTGCCCCCTCCTCCCTCACCTCGCACCTTCTTCCCCTCGTCCTTCTCGCTCGCCGCCTTCTCGACCCCCCCTCTCACCCTCGGCGGGCTCCTGACATGCCCCGCACACTCCCACGTCGCGACGTGCGTGCTGCGCCGCTTGGTGCCCGTGCGCAGCTCGCGCCCGGGTGACACGTCGCCGCCGTGCGAGCGCTGCGCCGCCTGCGCCGCGAGCTGCGCGAGGAGGAGCGACGTCGCGCTCGCCGTCGTCGAGGAGGTGGCAGAGGTGGTGGCGGGACGCTTGCGCGGCGAGGGCGAGCGCGCGACGGGTGCGGCGGGGAGGAGCGACACGCTGCGAGGGGACGAGCCCGTCTGCGAGCGAGTGCGGGCGCGCGGTGTCGAGGGTGCGGCGGGAGGAACAGGAGGGAAGAACGAGGTCGACGAGGTGGATGGGCCGGCGATGGCAGGAGGGGATATTGACGACGAGGTCGAGGCGTCGGAAGGCGAGACGGACCCCGAGCGGCGGCGGCGGTAAAGATGGTATAGGCCGACTCTTGCGCCTGCGAAAGCTCGACGTCAATACGGAAAGAGTGAGAGGGGGTGCGAGGGCGCACCTCGTTGTAGACCGGTGCGGCAAACTGCGCCTCGGACACCCTCCTGCCCCTCCTCGCGCACTCGATGGCCCACTGCGGCGTGACGAGCTTGGTCCCGTCCTTGCGGTTCGACTCGAGGAACTTCTGCGCCTTGCTGCCCGACAGGTTCTCGCGGATAAAGACGTGCGTGCAGCGAGCCGAGGGGACCGTGCTGCGAGAAGGGAGGGAAGGGTCAGGTCGGGCTCGTCAAGGGCGAGAACGGCGTGCGGGAGGAGGACGTACACCATCTTTCCGCCTTGATGCTGAACAAGCTCGCGAAGCTGCATGTTGGTGATGTCGTCGCCTGCGTGACGAGGAGAGAGTCAGACTCGTCGTCGACGTGCTCGAGCTCCTTCGACGGGGCGAGAAAGAGGGGACGCACCCGTGTAGCCGCTGATGCATGCGATGACGCCCTTGAGCGTGTTGGTCTCGGCGCTGGCGGCCTGGACGGTGAGCTTGGCGTTGCGCGTCAGGTTCCACGAGCGGCCGGGCCCGCCGCCACCTTGATGGCCCGTCGAGCAGCTCTGCAGGAAGGTGTGCGTGGTCAGTGTGCGTTGTACCACTACCTGACTATCCAGCCGACGGTCGCACATGCGCAGTGCGCGCGGCGACTGCCGGCAGGACGGAGGAGGAGGACGAGGGGGACGGACCTGGACGTGCAAGGTGCGCTGGTACGCCGTGCTGTTGGTGATCGGGTTGTCCTCCTTGCCGAGGGTCTTGATCAAGGCGCGATTGGCCTCGCGCACGCCGCCCTGGATCTTGTTGAGGCTCGCCGACTCGGACGAGGCCTTTGGCGCGTCGGCGAGGGTCGCGTACGGGCGGGGCTTGCCCTCGGCGGGCTTGACCGAGGGTGCACGGGTGCCCGGGGCGGACGGGTCGGGCTTGGTCGGCTTGAGGTAGGCGTCCATGGTCGAGGTTGCGCGGGACGTCAGAGGCGGGCGCGTGCAGCACTACGCGAGGGACGCGCGGCCGTGGGGTTGCGCGCAGTGCACGAAGGCGACCTCGAGGGCGAGGCTCGATTGCGCGGCACAGCAGCAGCAGGCGTCGAGCTGGCGAACGAGGGAGGGGGACGAGGTTGAGGGAAGATGGCACCGAGCGAGAGGTCAACTCGGCCCACCTCTCGAGTCGGGGCTTTGACGGGCTGGTTGTGCTCAGAGTACTCTCACAAGTAGATCGAGCCAGACACTGGCACCCCACGAGGGCGAGAAGGCGAGGCTGCGGAGTGTTCGCCTCGTGGTCGTTTGCTCCGCCGAGCTCTCGTCTCGACTCTCGCTCCCAAGTCGTCCAGCTCGTCAACAGCAGTCATGGTGTCGCTCCGCCTCAACACTAGCCCGCGTGTGCCCTCCTTCAGTGGCCCCATGGCCCTCGCGACCGCTCTCCTGTGCGTCCCCCGCGCCGCGCTGGGTCCAGCGCTAGCTCGTGTCCATCTGGCTCTTGATGTTTAATAGCCTCGTCGCCGCCGGCGAGGCCCTCGAACCCCCTCGGCGTCGCTCTCGTCCTCGACGTGCTCGACCGGCACCGCCCAGTCTCCCGCCGTTGCGGCCGTAGTCGACGTCGGCCCAGTTGCGCACCCGGCAGTCGTGGACCCGGTCGACGACGCTCCGCCTCGGCGGGCAGGACGCGCAGCGGCGCATGGCCCGACGCTCGCGCCGCAAGAGCCGACAGGAGGACGGGGTGGCACATCGGGTGGACGGGCGGATCGTCTGC